AAAAAATATTTGCCTTTTGACAGTAAAAACAATCTGGGAAGAATGGGGCATGATAACACTTTCCTCATGACGAAATGGAATCTTAGGAATTTGGCAAGAATTTAATTGGTGCTCAATTCTGAGCTCCTGAGTAAGTTGTTGTAACTAACATACTACATAGGAATGTCATTTTCCTATTTTCCTTTCCCAGTGCCTTTCATTTCTAAAAAAGATTAGTATGCCCTCCGAACAGACCTAATTTACCGTCATGGAGAAGTTTAGCAACTAGAAAGAAGAACTTAATGCAGGTAGCCCATCAGAGAAAGATCAACCAATGTTTACTTGCCTCCAAAGGTTGCGATAGCTTCTACTGCTCCATTATAGACAAAAGAATTTTGGGACGGTGCCTTGTATTCCCACAGGACTTGAACATAGTTCAAAATCTGGTTATAACCTGCTGTGGAAAGAGCCCACCACAGGGACCAGTAGAAAAGACGCTTTGAGGAGTAGCACTCTTTCAGGTCTTGGAACCACTGCATGAAAACTCTCAAAGCCACATTTTCTGGCTTCGGGCCACTCCACTGGCCATCATCCAGCTTCTCCAAAGTGGTGAGTGTCTCCGAAGTGGGCTTCTCCTCGTCACAGCCTGATGTTCTGCCCTCATGAGGTTCCTCTATCACTGCATCCGTGCTCGATGGCTTCTGTACTTCTTTGCTGGGTTTTGCGTGAAAAAACATGCTTTTCTTGGGCATCGGTAGACAAAGTGAGAAAAGGAAGGCCATGGAGACAGAGACCAGGGATATGACATTGAGGTAAAATTCCGATATTTTGGCCAGCGACACCAAGAGCTGGGCCAGCACTGAGGCCATCGTGCGGGCCACCAGCGTGATGCCCCTGCAGTAGCCGCTTACTTTTTGATAGTGCTCGGGGCTGACCACGCTGTATATGTAGGCATAGTAGGCCACCTCGGTGGCAGTTACTATCCCATAGAAGAATTCCACGACCTGCATGGCTTTCACTCCTTGGCCGAACAGGAGCAGCAGCCAGGTAATGATGAAGCTGATCCCTTGTAGGATGAGAACTGGCTTGTAGCGGACGTAATCAGTGAGGATAAAGACGGGGAGCAGCAGCACCAAATAAGAGTATGTCCACACCGGAAAAATCTCATTGGTCATCTGTGAAGTTAAAACATGAATCGTGGGACCATGAATGAACTAGGAAATAAAAAGGGTACCTTTCTCAGATGGGTACATTACTACAGTACATGTGGCTTGCTGGATATCCAATTTTGCATCCAATTGGATAGGATATTTTTCATATTATGAAAAAGCACAATAGAAAACTCATTTTCAAGAATGCCACTAGAAAAAAAGATGCCCCCCACACCCAGCAAGAAAATTTTATACTTACATGCACCCCAGTCGAAGTATATATGTGTAATCTGAACTATATTAAGTTTAGAGAGTATGTATATTTGAGTAAATTAGTTAAAAATTGCTCAACAGATACTTCTGGGTTTTTCGGGCTCTTAAAAAGTACCATTTCCTTCTTGTTCAAAGATTAACATCAGTGGCTACAATGCTAAAAGAATCTGAAACGCTTTATCTTTGTTTGACCCATCACTATGTCAAAAATGTCAGCCCTCCCAAAGTCTGGGTAAACATATACACAAAGAAAGCAAAGACTAAGTAACCTTGCAGACTTGCGGACTGGGAAAAGTAATGCATTTGATGTCCTTCCTGGGCTCATTTGCTGAGCTCCTGAACCCTTTTTTCCTCCAATTCTACTGATCTGTCTCTGCTTACTGAATTCTGGCCTCTGTTTCATGTGAGTTACATCATGGATTTAGTCAGAAATACATGGGACCTCTGTCTTCATTGGTAGAAAGAAAAGACAGAAGAAGCTGTTGACCTTTGGGTCACGATGGGTGCAGATGCAGCTCAGTCACACCAGCCTTTGCTCTGTCCCCTCTGCTTTCTCGGTGGGTAATCTCAGTGGGTTCAAATGTCAACGATGAGGGAAAGTTCAGTGACTTGAAAGGCTGGTGTGACTTAGCTGTGCTTTTGAGGATGTAGGGTTGCAGAAGCAGACCCCGGTGGGTTCACTGGCTGATTCTGGTTCCGTATCTGTTGTTTGTTTTGCCTTAATAGTGGCATGCTTCCATCTGGGGAACTCTGAAATAGAGTCGTTGCTAAATGATTTTACCTCACAGCACAAGCTTGCCTTTCGGCCCTTGCCACCTCGTCACCAAAAAACAACAACAACAACAAAAAAAAAACAAATGAAAAAAACAGCATCAATTAGCTTTTCCCAGTGGAGCCTCATCCTCTGCAGTGTTTTCAAAGCTCCACTGCAGAGTAGAAAACAAGCCTACTGGGTCAGTGCATGTTCTTGTCCTGCTTGTTATAAAAAAAAAAAAAAAAAGAGGTGGATCTTTTAAGTAAGAGAATTTGGATTTCTGGGGAAAATAAAGCTGAGAGATCAGGCTGTTAATGTCTCACATGCTGGTAGAGAGTCTTTCAAAACTGGGTAAGTGTCCTAAAGCAATGTGACACTTCTTTATCAGAGTCTCCTTCTATGTCATCAGCCTGAACGTTTGTTAGGACTAGATTCAGGGCCCGGCGGTGATTTATTTTAGGATTAGTGAGGTTCCCATGCGGTCAGACTCATGTTAGAGTTCCATAAAAGCTGAAATGTTTATTCCACATGTAACATATTTTGG